ATGATAACTGTGAGACGAAGACCAGATCGCTAGTCAGAGCGGATCACGCGACACAAGAACACAATAAGTGGGGGAGAGAGAGGGCAGGGGGTCAATCACCATGGCCAAGCTAATGTGACTAACCATTCACGTTGTTTCCCTAGATCAGGTTTGAGAGCGTGAATAGATAGAGCCTCGGCAAATTTCAGTAACTTAGTGTTTGTTGTGTTGTATAGATGACCTGGAATGCTTGGGTTGCAGTGACACAGTGTTTTTGTTCGAATAAGTGTTGCGTTATTGAAGATCTAAGTCTTTTCTGATCATTTGATAACGTGGCCGTTACAAACTTGTCGTCTATTGCTTTCTTAAGTCACACCGGGATGTGTTCGGTCATTCGGTGATGTAACTACCTCTTTGTCCTGACTATGTAGATGGCCGAGCATCCACACTTGAATTGGTAAACACAATTTCATTTGGCGGAGGGGGTCAATGGTTCTTTCATCGATTTCAATGGTATCCGGGTGGTAGTGAAGATAATGAGTGGGTCAACTGCGTAATGAACCCGCTTGATGGCAGAGTTCAACCGCTTGCTGACTGGTTCACTCACGTCATCGCCTTTGTATACTACCTTAAAAAATTGTCATTTTGGGGGCAGTTTTCGCGTTTTCTACTGTGGGTGATACTTTACAATGCTTAGCGATGAAAGAACCTGGGTATCAATTTGTTTGTAGTGCTTATTTTAAGAAGTCGCTTTGTATTTGTTTATGTAAAGGGCTCCTGTTTGGTGGCTGGACATCCTTGCAGTACCCGATCATAAAGCTCCAATGAACACAAACTAAAAATAACTTCATACTGCTTCTGTCGAGTAGGATAATCAGGAACGTGCTGCCCATTGCATCGAGCGGCGTGAGTAGTGATAAGTGGGCCACTGTTGAGATATCCCAACCTTTGTTTAACTCTTTGTTCTCCGTATCGAACCCTCTCCCTTTACCCCTCTTCCGACCCGTGACATTCCCTTAAGCAGCTTGGTTGTCATTGCCCAGTAGCACTAAATAGTTTTCCTGTGAATAAAGTGCAGATTCTGAAGCCTCGTCAACCCCTCAATCTGGGTCCTTCAACGTGAGGACTCCCATGCAGATGGGTGAAAAAGGATGTCATGCGCGTACAATGAAGTCTTCGGAAGTTGATGTCTGTTGCGTATCGGGGACTCCAATTCATGATCTTAATATCAGGTAGTAGTATCGAGGTATTTCCTTCACACATCGGGAGACGACGAAGCCCGCTCACTGGGTCAAGGTGGTGTAGGGATCGTACTAAAAGAAAAAGCTGAAGCCTCTATGATAGATTGGAAACCATTCGATAGTCTTTTTTGGGCAATGAGACTCCAGGGTTCAATTAGTGTTTGGAAGAGCAGCAACAACAAAAGACGTTTTTTCATTAGTTCCGCATATGTGCCAACCATCTGCAGTTCCACTTCACAAAAGAACGATCTCGTCGAACGGCTACATAGTGTTCTAGGTCAACTGGAACGTTGACCCAAATTGACCACATAGCTGTAAACTAACGTTTGCGTAATTCAGTACAGAGTTGCAGGTCCAATTAGACCACCTGTATTGAGTCGGACCATGCGCTAGTTCTGCTGCGTTTCACTCTTCTACTCATCTGTCATCGGCATAAATCTCATCCTAAGTTAGCTCATCATCTGCGCGATCCATCTGTCTGCAGACGTTATGAGGAGAAGCTAGGACAGGAGCTAGAAGAACACCCGCGACATAGTGCAGTGGACCAACAGTGGAATCATATTAAATTTGCGATGCACTCAGCAGCAAACTTTGCTTGTGGGATCGAACCCGAAGTTCGCCGAAGTCACTGGATCTCTCAGGAGACAGTAATCTTTTTTAAGGTGGGCGGAAATTCTCTTGTCGACTCGATTACTAGCTTACTTCGCTGCATTTGGCCAGAGGAACATATCCCTTCTTTCAGGGGTGAATCGTTGATGGTTCCGATCTTCAAGAAGGGATCATGCAACGACTGCGCAAATCACCGGGGGATTAGTTCCGTTCCAATATTCACAAAAGTGTTGAATTCTGCCTCACCTCGTCACCTGACACCCTTAAGGGAGAGGAATATCCGGAACTAGGCTACGCATCTACCCAAGAAAACCGGAAGAGCAGTACTCGTGCCATCATAGACTACAAAAAGCTGTAAAACCTGGTAATAATTAAGCAATGAGTCCTCCCAGAAGATGATCACGATCCTTTGGTGACATGGAAGAGCTTCACTGATTATCTTACCGAAATTGTAATGGCTGCAACAAGTATAAAAACTTGTGCTAAATCTAAATAAAACTCGTCATTCATTCATTCGCAGCCGAACAAAGAGATGGATAGAGCAAAGAAACTTTTCCTGGCGGGAGCACAGAAGATGTCCATCTATCGAAAATTGGAATAGTTGTTCCTAACTGCGAAATCAGTGTACCAAGTTGGTACGAGAAGACAAATTGATGTACCAAGAAACCCTGGCTCAGAAATTTTTCTGATCCAAAATTGCTTTATAAACATATCAATTCTACAAGGAAGGTGAAATGCGGAATACCAGCATTGAAATCGTCTCGACATGTTTCAACCACTACTCTAGAAGCAGCAGAGTTCCTCAAAAAACAGTTTGATCAGGTGTTTACAGCAACGACACGAAGTATTACAGATCCCAAGCAAACCACCCTGTATACCGTATCCATCACTGGATAACATGGCTTTTGTCAGTGAGAAAGTTAGAACAAAACTATTAACTTTGCGTAAGAATTCATCCCCAGGCGCAGAAAACATGCATCCCCGGACTCTGATGTCGCTAGCCAATAACATTTCCCAACCGGTGGTTGTTCTTTACTAAAGGATGTTCCACGAGGCAGTAATTTCGCAGTCATTGAAGGAAGGGGTGATTTCTCCTATTTACAAAGGGGGATCTCGCAGTGATCCAGCCAACTACTGCCCTGTTGCACTTCTTCCGATATTGTCGAAAGTCATGGAGGCTATTGTGGCAGATCTGTTGAATATCTGGAGAAGCATGACCTTTTGTCTCCAACCCGGCACGGATTTCGGCACAAGCGTTCGTGCGCCACAAACCTGCTCCTTGCACGGGATGAGTGGACAAAATCCGTTGATGCAGGCCAGCCATTGGAT